TCCTCCTCCTCCTCCTCCTCCTCCTCCTCCTCCGGCTCCTCCTTCTCCTCCATTCCTGCCTCCGCTTTTGGCGTGCCGCGCGCCTTCTGTCTGGCACACCACCCTTCAGACGCTGCGTGGCCCTGCCGGGACCTCTACCGAAGGCCCCAGTGGCAGGGTCCGTGCGCGTCCGACGCCCAATTCGGCACACCTCTCACACGGTTGGTGGCCCCACATCATAGAACAAAAACACATAGCTCTCTCTATGGAGCGACATTTGTAACCGTTGCCCGTCCTTGAGGCGGTCTGACTGCGAGGCCATCCAAGCGTTGAGGCGCAATTGAATCAAGCGCCCGTGCCGCTTGCGCTTGGGGAATATCCCGCAGCTTTGATGTGCCCGTCTCCCCCGCCCAGGCTCGCAAAGAGTGGAAGAGCTCTGCTTCCGCCTGGGGTGAAGGTATGAATGCAGGCAAGTGGATGCCTCAGGGGAGGCGAGGCACAGACCTCCGATGAGCCAGGGCTGGGGCAATCAAAGATCCTCAGGCTTTCCCAGCACCGCTTTTTGTAGCTTTGAGCCCTTGCTGTTTCGTGGCCCCTTTCCTTTCAGTCGTGCCCCATCCGCTCGTTGTCTGTGATTTCCCTGGTCCGCCCTTCGCTTTCCTTCGGCCTTTCGGTCCCTTCCGTGGCGCGCCGGCTACGCGCAGGAGTATGTGTTCTGAGGATCGCCCGAGGATCTATAGAAACAGAGGAGGGGCATCGGTAGCACAGCTGGTTCCTACCTCGCCATATCTTCTCCGCGTCTCCATCCCCCCCCTCCATCCCCCCTCCTTCGCTCCTGCTCCCCCCGGGCCTCCCCCCTCATTCTTTCTCCCCTCGCACCTCCGTGCCCCCCCCCCGCCCTCCGTTCCCACCCTCGACTTCGTCACCCTGGGTCCTCGCCCTCCTCGCCATCCTGCTCCCCTCAGAAGGGGACAAAGGACGTGCGCGCAGAGGAATCCACGTTGGCATCGAAAGCACGCACCGCGTCCACGTTCGTGGTGCGAGGCGGTTCTCGCGGACTGGGGGGGCGCATTCGGCACGCGGTTGGGCGCGCATGTTTTTTTTCTTCGGGCCCTTTTTCTCCCCATCGCTCCCGCGCCCTGAGGTAATGCGGGCTATTATCGGCCAGTTTGGTTTAACCCAGCCTAATCACACTCAATTAAGCTTAATCTGGCTGAATTCTTGGCTCAATCAAGCCTAATCCATTGAAGTCGCCTTTTTCGGGGGTTGCTAACAGTGCCCCGGGCCCACGGTGCCCCCAGCTTCCCGCCCCATGTTGGAACCCTTGGTGCCCTGTGGGCCTCGTAATGGTGTGTTTTGGAGGCCGTGGGGGGGGGGGCCCTGGATTTTTTTTGGGCGCATTGTCCCAGGGGCACTTCTAGCAACGCCCGACCTTTCAATCGGATTTTTGCGCATCGGTCGCTGAAAGTGGGAATTTCTGTGGTCACAGATCCCAATCTATTTTAGGCGCCGTCCTGCTTCAATCGACGAGCGTCTGCCCCCTTTTCCTTCGTCCACAGATGGCGGGCGGTGACCCAATCTACTTTCAACGAGCGCCTTCTGACTTCATGTTTCTACCCATTTATTCCGACTAGATTCGGGGGTTCGTGGAGGAGGGGATCCCCAGGTGTTGTCAGGGGACATACCCAGTCGACTACGCAGACTCTCTTCGTAGACGGGCCTATTCGAGCGATTTAAACTTAACCTCACCTCTGCCCCCACCCCACATATACGTCAGGTTCGCGTCGTGTCGATCAGCGGCGACCCCGCTTCCGGCGTTCAAAGTTGAGCGCCGCCAGCGACCCAGAATCGGTCGATGTTGAACGATCGGACGGTTCGGAAACGGCCGATTGTTCCAGGTTGAACGATCCCCGCGGTGTCAGGAGCCAACGTCGAAGTCGGCATGACAGGAGCCTGCCGTATACGGCCCCACCTACCATTCCCACCATCCTCACCATCCTGACTCACCATCCTCACCATCTTGCTCCCCATCACCATGTTCTCGGCTTCACCGCTGTTCCAGATGTGCTCCACCACTGTCCGCCCTCATCCGCACCATGCATGGCTTCGATTCTGCTCAGCCTCACCATCCTGATCACCATCCCCACAATGGTCCCAGCGTTGTCTGTATTGGGGCCCAGCTATAGCCAAGCACAGGCATCAGCCTAGGTTTTATATGGCCCTCTTGAGAGTGGACGGCCCCTCATTGCGCCTATGTTCCCAATGGCTCGCGGCCCGATCTGACGCTGTGCTTCATGGCGCTGTGCGCCTGTGGTTCGTGTTGGCACTAGTTTGGTGCTGTGCACCCCCCTTAGGGGCCTTTCACTCATTCATTCAGCATCCTGCTCCCCCATACTCAGGAGGGGAAGAAACACACAGACACAATTAATCCTCGATTCCCCAGAAAATATTGGAAAATATGGGAAGTGGGGGGGAAGACAAAAACCCAGAACATATGGGAACATATGGGGAATCGTTTTATTTGTGTGTATTTATTTGTGTGTCCTGGGGCCCCTTCACATACCCCGTGCCCGCGTCCCCCCCCGCCCCCGCGCCCCCCCCCCCCCGCGTCTCCCCCGGCCCGCACCACTGCCTTTATTATGCTCATCCTCACCATCCTGCTCACTCACCACCCTCACAATCCTCACCATGGTCCCAATCGCCTCCTCATCATCCTGCGCCCCCATCCCCCCTTCTGTTCATCCTCACCATCCTGCTCACCATCCTCACCATCCTCACCATGGTCCCAATCGCCTCCTCGCCATCATGCTCCCCCCCCTCCCCCCCCCTCCGCGTCCCCCCCCCCCCCGCGCGCAGCCCGGCCTGTCGTCCAGCTGCTTCTCGCCCGAGCTGCCCGGGCCTCGCACCGCCGCCCGCAGCGCGATGGGACGGGGGGGGGGCTGCCGGAGGCGGGGCCGCCGGGAGGCGGCAGCGCGGAGGCCAAGGCAGAGAAGGGAGGAGGAGGAGGAGGAGGAGGAGGAGGAGGAGGAGGAGGAGGAGGCGGGGGCGGAGGCGGAGGCGGAGGCGGAGGCGGAGGCGGGCGGAGGAGGAGGAGGAGGAGGAGGAGGAGGAGGAGGAGGAGGCGGAGGCGGAGGGAGAGGAGGAGGAGGAGGAGGAGGAGGAGGAGGAGGAGGAGGAGGAGGAGGAGGAGGAGGAGGAGGAGGATGGGGGGGCAGGGGGCAGGGGGCAGGGGGGCAGGGCCCCCGCCCCGCGCAGCCCCCTCTGCTGGCCATGCAGGGAGCCCCCAGCCTCCAGGGAGAGGCTCACGACGTGGTGCCAGGTTGGGGGAAGATCCCCGCCTTCCTCCTTCTCCTCCTCCTCCTTCTCTTACTCCTCCTCTCTTACCCCGCCCCCCCGCCCGGCGGCCGACGGTTCCCGCGTCGCCCGACGGAGGACAGCCCCGAGTAACGTTCTCGTCCCCCTGCTCCCCTCGCCTTCGTCCGGGGCCCCCGCCGGGGCCCTCGTCGAGTCCAGCCGAGGTTGGGACGATCGAAGTGGGTACGGAAAGCAAGGGCGCCCTCGAGGGCGCGAAGGTGTTCGCGCTTCGCGGTTCGGCTCCGATTCCTCCTCATCCTCCTTTGCTCCCCTGGGAGGCGGCGCAAGAGCGCGAAGCTATTCGCACTTCGCGCTTCGCGCAGCGCGACGCGCGAAGCTGGGAGCCCGTGCCAAGACCGTCGGAGACCGCCGCGGGCCGACGGGTCGGTGACCACACCGCGTGGCCCCCGGGGCTCCCCTCCTCCTCCTCCTCCTCCTCCTCCTCCTCCTCCTCCTCCTCCTCCCCCTCCTCCTCCTCGGGGGGCGCCGGGAGCGTCCCGGACGGCTGCCGGGGAGCCGGGCGGCCCGCACGCCGTATGGGGCATGCGGTGTGGTGCCAAGCCCGGGGGGAGGAGCGCCGGATGTGGCCGAAGGCCGTCGGGCACCGCCGAGGGCCGACGGGCACAGCTGGCACGGCGGAGGAGGAGGAGGAGGAGGAGGAGGAGGAGGAGGAGGAGGAGGGAGAGGGAGGAGAGGAGGAGGAGGAGGAGGAGGAGGAGGAGGAGGAGGAGGAGGAGGAGAGGAGGAGGAGGAGGAGGAGGAGGAGGAGAAGGAGGAGGAGGAGAGGAGGAGGAGGAGGGAGGGAGGAGGAGGAGGAGGAGGAGGAGGAGGAGACGAGGAGGGCGAGGAGGTCAGCTTTGGAGGGACCAGGAGGGGCACCGTCATGTTCCCCTCCCTCCACCTCGAGGTGTTCCTTCGCTCTGGGCCTCTCAGCACGCTGCTGGTGGTGTACCATGTTGTGAGGCGGTGGCTGCACGGTTTTGGGAATTGAGTCGTTCTCTGAGCGCCTCTCGGGCGATTGGGGCCTCCCCGGTCCTGAAACAGTGCGTTGGCGGACCGTGCTGTGAAGCCCTTGGGGGTCGCCAGCGCGGTCCGTCGCCGCCCTGCTTTGGAATTCCCAAGGCTACCCCTATGTCGGGCCTGTCCCCCTACAGGGGGATTTTCGACGAAAAATAAAGCATACCCCAAGAATGCCGCAAAAAGGTAAAAAACAAAAATACCCAACAAAATAGTCCCCAGGCTATTTTTGTATTATTTTTTGATTTTTTGAAGGGTATGTTTTATTTTTCGTCGAAGCTCCCCCTGTAGGGGGACAGGCCCGACTTAAGGCTGCCCTCCCCTCGTCGCCGCGGCGGGAGTCGCGGCGGAGGGGGGGGCCCTGTGGACGGGGGCCTCGACGGCAGAGGGCCCCGGGCAGGGCAGGCTCCACCTGGGGCCCCCTCCCCGGCCTCGGGGGCCCCGGTGCCTGGAGCCGCCAACGAGGGGGGGGAGCGAACAACAACAACAACAACGACAACAACAACAACAACAACAACAACAGCAGCAGCAGCAGCAACAACAACAACAACACCACCAACAACAACAACAACATCAACAACAACAACAACCACAACAACAACAGCAACGACAACAACGACAACAACGACAACAACACCAACACCAACACCAACACCAACAACAACGACAACAACAACAACAGCAACAACAACAACACCAACAACAACGACAACACCACCAACAACAACAACAGCAACAACAACAACAACAGCAACAACAACAACAACAACGACAACAACAACAACAGCAACAACAACAACCGCAACAACAACAACAACAACGACAACAACAACAACAGCAGCAGCAACAACAACAACAACAGCAACGACAACAACAACGACAACAGCAACAACATCAGCAACAACAGCAACAAGAACAGCAACACCAACGACAACAACAACACCACCAACAGCAGCAACAGCAACAACAATAACAACGACAACCACAACAACAACAACAGCAACAACAACAACACCAACACCAACAACAACGACAACGACAACGACAACGACATTGACAACGACAACGACAACGACAACGACAACGACATTGACAACGACAACGACAACGACAACGACAACGACAGCGACAACAACAACAACATCAACAACAACGAAGCCACCGCGGGAGGAGTGGTGCCCCGAGCGCTGGCCCCTGGCCGTGCGGAGGCCGCCTCGGTGCCAGCGGGGCCGTCGAGGACCTTCCGGGTTGGACCGCTGGTGCCTGGGAAGGGGTCGAGAGCTCCAGGAGGGGGCCGGACGAAAGGGGGGGATTGGGAAAGGGGGGGTTACGAAATTTGCTGCATGCAGCTGGTTTCGGCCCCACCGAGGGGCCCACTCCTCGATACATGGGCGCCTCCGGCGCCGGGAGGCGCCGGAAAAATCAGCTACGTGAGCTGATTCTCAAACCCCCCCTTTTCTATCCCCCCCTTTCGCCCGACCCGAGAGAGCTCCAGGAGGGGGGGGGGCGGGTGAGTTGGAAAAACAGTACGAGTGCGATGTCGGGGGATGGAGGCGGGAAGAGGCAGGAGGCACGAGGAGAGGACGAGGAGGAGGAGGAGGAGGAGGGGGAGGGGGAGGAAGAGGAGGCCGGGCTCCTCCGTGGCGCGCAAGTGGATGATGATGATGGTGATGATGATGATGACGATGATGATGATGATGACGATGATGATGACGATGATGAGGAGGAGGAGGAGGAGGAGGAAGAGGAGGAGGAGGAAGAGGAGGAACGCGAAGAGGACGAAGGGGAGGCGGAGGGTGGAGGTGCGGGGGCGGGGGCGACGGTCACGGGACCAGCATCGGGCCTCGCCCAGAAGGGCTCCAGGGGTGTCGTCGGGTGTCCTCATAAGGGGACCTCGGGGGGAGCTCGACTGGCTGCGTTGGCCCAGCCGCCCCGTGACCTGCGGCACCGCCCGGGGAGCGGGGGCGCCGAGAGGTCGGGTCGCTCTCGCGACGCGTGCCCGCTTGTGCTGAGCATGCACCTCTCCAGAACATCGTCGATCGAGCTATCTTCATTCACAAGAGGAAAACCCACCTGGACTGGACATTTGGCGTTTACTGAACTCGAAAGGGGGGGGTACGAAATTTGCTGCATGCAGCTGGTTTCGGCCCCACCGAGGGGCCCAGTCCTCGATACATAGCCGCCTCCGGCGCCGGGAGGCGCCGGGAAAATCAGCTACGTGAGCTGATTCTCAACCCCCCCCTTTGCTATCCCCCCCTTTCGCCCGACCCGATAAACGGCCCTGGGCGTTTGCTGAAAGCATCGCCCTGCTCGAGTCCTTCTTTGGGTGCGTTTACTAAAAACGGCCTCGCTTGTCGGGGGGTTTTATGGGGGTGGTATTTGTTGGCCTCTATTCATCTCTAGCAATGCGACCAGGAAGAGGAGGACGAGGGTGCGCAGGGGCGACGGACGGACCAGAAGCGGTGGGGGAAGAGAGGGAGGAAGACAACGGACGAAGGCCAAGGATCATGGATGAGGAGGAAATGCAGAGGGGGAGGGTCGAGGACCAGCAGAATGGGGGGGAGGAGCAGGGGGAGGAGGATATGGGGGAGGCGCGATCCTCGATCTTCTTCCCCTCCGTCCTCCTCCTTCTCCCCTTTTATCATCCTCTTTCCTCCTCCTTCGCTTCTCCTCCGCCTCCCCACTCAACTCAAAATCCGTGTCGCCGTTTGGCTCCGCGACGTCGCGTGCAAACGCATACTTGAAAAAGGGATTGCCGTCATCTCAACCTTTTCGTTACCACCACATTCTAGTTGACAGCGGAGCTGGGAACGATCCCAGCTCGCGGTCCACGGAAAACGCGCGGAGTGCGAAGTAGACGCGCGTTCGCATTTGTTTCACTTTCTGCAGGGCTACCACCCCCCATTCCTTGAACAGCCTGTGGTTATGGCTGTTTTGCAACGCCGCGGGCACTTCGACCCGGAAACCCATAGGCACGATGAGGCCAACGCCAGACCGCGCGAGTCCTTGTGGGAGCTTGGCTGCAATGGCAGCAGCAGCTGTTGGCTACGTGCAGGACACAAGCCCACATGGGCTCCACACGCACAGCCGTCCGGTACTGGCCGCGGAACGCACGCTCTCGCGTTTGGCCACATGATTGGGCCAGTATTCGGGTCTGGACTGTTCGTAGGAGTACTTGCTTAGGTCCGGGCTAGCTCGCTGCGCACCCCGAGTGACACACTGTTGGTTGATGTGCCTGCCTCACCACCCTCAGCTCCAACTAAGGGTGCCAGCACCACGACGGATTCCCCAAGCATCGAGCTGGCGTTTGTCCTTTTGCAAGTCCGAATTTCAAGACGCCCGCGCAGCTCATATCGTGAAGCCGTCTTCCAGAGGATGATCTCCATCTTGGCGCTACGGAACAGAGCAGCATCATCCTCCCCTTCGTGATCGCCTTTCTTGGGCTCGTCTGCATGATGCACCTTGACAGCAAGGTGGAAGCGGTGGCAGAGGAGGCAACATGCGTCAGCCACTTGCTGGTCGTCTGAACGCGTGTCCGTCTACCCGCTTCGCCATTGGGCGCAGGACTTGCTCGCGTGGAGCGTACTCGCCACAGACAGGGGCAGCGTTCAGCAGCGCCCAGTCATCATTTTGAATATTGGTGGCGCTGCTCGTGAACTCACGCTGTCTGCACTGCGCTTCAGCGGCCATGCCGACGATGCCGTCGCCTACCTCATCGCGAACCTCGCGAGCCATTTCGGACCGCTCGGCGAGGAGTCGCGCTTGCAAGCCGCACGGGAGCCCTTCGATTTCTCGAGACGACGCAACGAGGCCACCGACGCATTGAGACCACATCGCGTTTCCGAGCGAGGCGCAACGGTGGAGCTCCGATGTCGCGCGAAGGCTACAGCTGGCTGCTCATCCGAGCGATCGGCGCTGCGGCCCGCCATCTCGCGACCTTGCTCCAGCGCCTCGGCGACACATGCCCCGCAACATAGTATGAATTCCACAGTCCCTCGACGATGCCTAGGCGCGTGGGCCGCATCTTGGAGCGCGCGCCCAGCATCGTCGCCAGCGCTTTGTGTGCCCCGGGAACGACAGGGCCGTTTTTGTTACCGGTTCCGTTTTGCCGTTTTGTTGCCGGTTCCGACGCCGTTTTTTTACCGGTTCCGATGCCGTGTTTTGACCGGTTCCGGCTCTGGTTCCAATCCTGGAGCCGTTTTTTTGCCGTTTCCAGTCGCCGTTGTTTTGCCGCTTCCATTTTCAAGGGGCATTTTGGGGGAAGCGGTGGAAAAACGGCCCTGCCATCTCCGGAGCCCACAGAGCGCCAGCGCTTTTCGCGCGCCGCCATCCTCCGCACGGGCCGCAGGCGTGGCCAACGACCACGGCAGCTGAGGCGGCGCGCGCCCAGCCGGCCCCCGGCACGAGCAGAGGCTCGACCCCAGGGCTGCGAGCGCCGCCGAACACCCCGGCGTCCGGGGTGCCTTCGCCCTTCGCCGCGCCGGCAGCTCTCGTCCGAGCGCCGCGCCGCCGCTGGCAGACGCGTCGGCATGTTATCCCCCGCGCTGTTTTGGAGCAGGAAAGCTCTGACATGGAGCCGAGAGCAGGCGACGCGACGCGCGCGCGCGCGGCGCGCGCTGGGCCCGCGGGCCGCGGCCGCGCTGTTGTTCATCGCGCCCCCGCGCGAGGCCCGCGCTGGCCCCGATGCCGCCCCGGGCGCTGGCTGAACCTCCCCGACAGATATCCCGACGTCGGAGGGGCTGGCGCCTGCTCAGCCATCGAAGATTTGTCGGGCGTTGGCGACACTTCGCGCTCGCAGCGACCCGCCTACATCCGAGCAGCAGCAACCGGCGTGTGTCCTGCTCTCACCTCCAGCGGTACAGAGGGTGAGCGTTTTGGCGCGTCTGCGGCGCTTGCCGCCGATGATGCCCGCGGGCCCGGCGCCGGCGAGGATGCTGAGCGCCGCGGCGAAGTCGACGCCGCCGCCGCCCTCGGCAAAGAAGGACAGGGGCTGCCAACGCCGTCCTCGCGACCCCGACCTGCGCGGGCACCTCCGCGGCCGTGCTCGGCCTGCTCGAAAGCGTTCCCGCAGCCCTGCGCGACCCCGCCGCCGTCGCCGCTGGGCTACGTCGGCGCCTCCGAGGCCCTCGGCCAGTCCAGCGTGGCCCAAGGCGCCCAGGCTGGAGCTGGCCAGCCGCGGTCGCCCCGCTGCGCCTCGCCCTCATCCTGAGGGGCTACCAGCAACGACCCCCTCCGACCTCGACGGGGAGGGGCCAGAGGGCCCAGGCGCGGGAGCTTTCGCCTGGCACCACCGCCCACGAGCGGGCGAAGCAGGCTGCGATCGACTGGCACGTCTCGCACCGCATCGCATTGGATTGGACGCGGCTCTCACGTGCCTCTACAGCTCGGGCGTCGTGGAGCCCGTGGTGCGCGCGAGCTGCAGCCTCGAGACCAGGCTGGCTCGCAGCGCCCGCCGGAGCCTGCAGGTGGCCCCGCGCCGTTTTTTTGGGGGGCACCCCCGACGCAAGCGCGCGCCGCTCGCGTCGGCGCCAGCGGCAGAGCTGCGCGGCCGCGAGCGGCCAGAGCACGGACCAGACCCATTTGCTGGAGCCCGACCGGCCGGGCGACCCAGGCGTTGCGCCGCCCGGCGCGGCGTCGGCCACTGACGGCAGCGAAGTTCAGAGCCCCGAATCATCAGGGATAACTCGGGTCAGGGATAACTCGGGTTCGTTTTTCGGGAACCCAAACCCGAGTTACCCCGGACCCGAGTTACCCCGGATAATTCGGGCGCCCAAGAAGTGAGCCCACGCCCGAGGTTCCCCTCGCGCCGGGGCTCGCGGCCGCCCCTTCCCAAAGGCGCTCTCCGCCGCGCCGCCGGGCGGAGGCGCCCGGGCGGCAGCGGGGCCGAGCTCGGGCACGAGGGGCGGGCGAGGGGCAGGGGCGGCGGCAGGTCCGGGGGCGTGGGCAATGAGAACTCCGTGGCGCGCAGAAGGATTGCAAAAAAACCCAAGGATTGCAAAAAAAAAACAGGATTGCAACAAAAAAACAACAAAACAAAAAACGAAGGATTGCAAAAAAGGATTGCAAAAAACGAAGGATTGCAAACAACAGATTGCAATCCTTCGTTTTTTTTTTTTTTTGCAATCCTTCGTTCAAGTGAGGGCGGGGGAGGGGGGGGGCTTCTTATCTGCACGAACGAGATGGGCACGGAAAGAAAGGGTACAATGCCCAACAGGCAGGGCTCGCCGTCCACGCCGCCGCGGCCTGTGCCCATTCGAGACAGAGGGCCGCCTGCCCATCAGCGGCCGCTGTTGGTCTGGGACAACATCTGTTTGTTGGGCATTGTACCCATTTTGTCCGTACCCATTTCGGGCGTCCAAATCTTAGAAGCACCCCTGCTTCTAAGAAGGCACCCGCCTCGACTGTGGATGCAAGGCCCGCGCCTTCTAAGAAGCAGCCTGCTTCTACGAAACTTTCCCCCCTCCCCCCCCCTCTGCGCGCCGCCAAAGAACTCCAAAGACGACGGCAGGGGGGCCGCCCCCGCGGACGTCAATGCCGCGACGGCCGATGCCGGCACGCAGGTCTAGAAGGCGCGGCGTGGAGGCGAGAAGGCCACGCGCCGTCGCGCGGACAGTTGCGGGCAATAGCTAGATCCACATCCAGTGAGTCTTGGAGTTTTGGGCCCTCTTCCCCAGAAACTGGAGGCGCACTCGATATGGATAAACACCTGGCCCCCAAACGCTCGATGTTTATCCATATCCAGTGCGACTGTGCCTTGCGGCACCCCTTCCCGAACAGTCCCAGACGCTCTGGATATGGATGTAAGCATTGCCCGCACCAGTCGCGCGACTGCTCCAGGTCCTCCTGGCGAATGAGGAGCCCAAGGGGCCGGCCTCGCCCCCTGCGCGGCCCCCCGACGCAGTCGCCACGGGCGAGGGGCAAGCAGCTGAGCAGAAAGGCTGCTCGCCGCAGGAGCATCCAGTCAAGGGTGACTTGGGGCGCTCGGCGAGCGAGGCGCCAGTGCGATGATTTTCACCACCCACCACACCACCCCAACCCAACCCGAAGGGCTCAATTTGCCCTCCATTTCCACCGGGGGGGGGGGTCGGGGACATTGAAAAAAACACATGGAACCCGTACCCCCCAAACCCGAAATTCGGGTCAAACTCAGGTCTTCGGGTTGGGTTGGGGTGGTCTGGTAGGTAGTCAGATCTTGCGCGCCCCCATAGTTTGCGCGTCCTTTCTCCCTTGCCCCGCCCTACAGGGTCAAGACCGCTGCTTTGCTCATCTTCGCCCCGGCGCGACTCCGAGCGCCACCTTCGCCGGGCAGGCTGCTGCAGGCTGCCGGACGGTCAGTCCGCAGCTCGGAGTCCACAGACTCCGACGCGGGGCGGGGCGAGCACGCGCCCCGCGCATTCGCAGGATCTGCGCCCAGTGCTGTTCGTAAGAGCGCGGGTGAGCTCCCGAATGGATTTGGTGAGCCCGCCATCCGCCCGGGCCGACGCCTTCCGGATGGCGGCGGCGTGGGCTGCATGTGCTGGGAAAGTGCGCCCAGTTGGACAGATCCGCTTTTCTTCTCGGTTCCTGTGCTCCGCCAGAGCTGTTCGATCGCCCGCGCAGTCCCGACTTCGATGTGATGCCGTGTCGCCGTTTGGCTCCGCGCCGGCGCGTGCAAACGCATGCCCGAGAGGGAAAAGTCTTGCTTGCATGTCTGATTGCCGCCATGCCAACCTTCTCGTGATCACCGATCCCGCGAACATACTGTCTCTTCCTCCTTCCTCTTCCTCCTTTTATCACCTCCCTCCTCCATCCTCGACCTTGCATCATCGAGTGCCGAGATGCCCCCAGTGCCAATGCCGCTCGAAAGACCGAGGTCACCTGCGTCGCAAGCTGGCGACGCCGCCGCGGCATCCGCGCCGGGCAGCGGCCACAGGCACGTCAGCCGGAAAAGCAGCGCGCGTCGACGACGCCGACGCCGCCGCCGCCGCCGCCGCCGCCGCGACCGACGACGGACCGGCAACGGACGGCAACGGACGGCAACGACGGACGGCCCTCCTCCTCCTCCTCCCCCTCCTCCTCCCTTCTCCTCCTCCCCCTCCTCCTCCCTTCTCCTCCTCCTCCTCCTCCTCCTCCTCCTCCTGCGACCGACGACGGACGGCAACGGGCGCCGCCGAAGACGACGTCGCCGCGGCACACGACGTGCGGCGGACGGCGCCGACGGCCGGCGGCGCCGCGGCCGACGACGGACTGCGGGCGGCGGGCGGCGGTCGGTCGCCCCGGGTGGCCCCGAGCGTCGCGCGCCGCGGCCGGGGGGCCGCCGCGGCGGGGCCCGCCTCCTCCTCCTCCTCCTCCTCCTCCTCCTCCTCCTCCTCCTCCTCCTCCTCGTCCTCGTCCTCCTCCTCCTCCTCCTCCTCCTCCTCCTCCGCTTGAGTAGGGGATCGACTGAAGAATCGGGGGAGCGTAAGACCCGGGTTTGCCAGGACGCGGGTTCGCCATCCTTGTTTGACGACCGCGCCTCGGATTTTGACGAGGGGGAGTTTCGTGGGATGTCTGCAGCGGGAGGCCTCGTCAAAATGCAGGATCGGGTCGGGCGAAAGGGGGGGATTGGGAAAGGGGGGGTTACGACATTTGCTGCATGCAGCTGGTTTCGGCCTCGCCGAGGGGCCCACTCCTCGATACATGGGCGCCTCCCGGCGCCGGGAGGCGCCGGGAGGCGCGTCGTGTCGACCAGCGGCGACCCCAGCGCGGGCGTTCAAGGTTGAACGCCGCCGGCGACCCAGAATCGATCGATTTTGAACGATCGGACCTTGCGGCAGCGGCCGATCGTTCAAGGTTGAACGATCCAGCGCGGTGTCAGAAACCAACGCTGGGGTCGGCACGACACGAACCTGCCGTAGGGGATCGACTGAAGAATTGATTTACCCCAAAATTGATCCTCCATCGAATCTACGACGAAGACCTGAGATGTTCAGCAGTCGACCGAGACTGCTGCAGTGTTCTTCAGATCCGACGAGAAAACCATGTTTGGGGTAAAGCAATTCTGTAGTCGATCCCCTATTCGACCCGTTCCAGAGCGCGGCGCGGGGGCGCGAAGACAGCGGACCCCGCCGCGCATCGCGGCGGCACGGTGCGCGAAGCCAGATGAGAGTGGACGACGGACGGTGGTGATGATTGCCGTTGCGCATCGGGAGGGGAAGAAAAACGCACACAGACACAGTTAGTCGTCGGTTACCAAGGAAAGCTGGGAAGATGTGGGAATTGGGGCGGGAAGACAGAAACCCTGAAAATATAGGGAAAAACTGTGGGGAATCTCAGTGTGTTTGTGTGTGTGTGTGTGTGTGTGTGTGTGTGTGTGCTTGTGTGCCCCTGGGCCCCCGTGAAAGCAGACGACGGACGGCGGTGATCCTAGCCGCTGCGTGTAAGGGAAACCGTCAGGAGGGGAAAAACACACACACAGACACAATTAATTCTCGATTCCCAGGAAAATATGGGAAAATATGGGAAGTGGGGGGGAAGACAAAAACCCAGGAAATATGCGAAAATATGGGGAATATGTTTATTTGTGTGTACTTATTTGTGTGTCCTGGGGCCCCTTCAAACCGAGCCACCGAGCGGGGCGGCGAGCCGACCGCGAGACGCCGGCGGCGGCGGCGGAGAAGCGGCGGGTGCCGGAGGCGCGCGCGCCTTGATCTGCCATGACCCACCGTCTAGCAGGAGGGGGAGCAAAACACATACACTCCAGGCGATGCTTAAGAAAACCCAAGTTTTCGGCCAGAGTCTCGATCATTCTTAACGTTTCAATGTAAATCCTAACATTTGAATAGACATTCTGGGTTTGATTTCAAATTCTGAGACTGTGAATTTCTTAACCCATGATTTCTAAAGCATTTCGCAGGGTGTAGACACAATTCATCCTCGATCCCCGAGAAGATATGGGAAAATTTGGGTTTGTCCGCGGGTCAGAGAACGGGGTCGTCTGTAGGAATGGCCCCAGAAGTGGCAGGGAAAGCGATTCAAACGGAAATCAGTTTTCGTTTTGGTGTGAAGGTTTTTGGGGTCAATTTGTTGTTTTGAATTATGTTTGGGTTAAGCTGTGGCTCCAGATTCTTAGCTGTTGGTGTGCACTTGAAAGTGTCGTTTGTTCTTCTCTACTGCATATACGTCGGTCTTCGGGGTGGGTTGTCCGATGGGTTAGGCGCGGCTGCCGGCTTCGACCAGTGCCCCTGGGCGTCGGTGTTCGGCCTTGGCATTGCAGCTGTGTCTTGCGATGCAAGTTGGTATTTGGCCTCGGTGTTAGTCTTTGGCCTCGGTCTTGCGACGCCGTCCGTCTGCGACCTCGGCCCACATGGTAGAACAACGATGATCGACTTCAGATTTGCGACGGGGGGCGGTCTTGATTTCCTGAGTTCTGCGTGCACCATCGCTCGCCGACAGCGCGCTTCCCCTTGGGTCCCGCGACGCGTGGCTCGTTCTATGGCCCGCGGCGCCAACGGCCTCGTTGCCGCGGGGCACGCGAGCGCGCGCTCGTCTGCGCGAGTTTTGCGTCGCACCGCGCAGCGCGAAGCGCGCGAACGCACGAGCGCACATCTTTAACAGCGAGGCTTCGATGTCACGCGCTGTTTGCGCGGGGACTCGCGTTGCACAGCCGAAGGAAGTGGGCGAGTCTTCTGAAAAAGAGCACCGCGTGCGCGTCGCCGAGAGCGTGTCGCATTGCGCCCAGCTGCCAAAAGCAAGCCCCTCCACCGCGCCAGTCCAGCACTTTGGGCGGCGACTGTTCGAGCGATGGAAGCGACGATGGTGGCGACGAGGACGGCGACCATAATGCGAAGGAGACAAATATTAGGCTGTCACACGTGCGCACTCCCAATGAATTGCCTGAAGAGCCCTCATGGAGTTCACCTGGGCCGTATCAGGGCAGTCTTGGGTTCCTGTGGGGCCGTCTTGCGGGCCCCTTGCGGCTTTCCTGGGTTGCTCTGGGCTCCGCGTGAGCCGTCTTGGGTCTCTTGCGGCCTTCGTCGGGGCGTCGCGGGGGCGCCTGGGTCCGTCGGGGGTCGAGAGGCCCTCCCGGGCCGTCTTGGATCCCTTCGGCTGTCTTCGCAGGTTGTCTTGGGGCTCTCTTGGGGCCGTCCTGTGCCGCATTCTGGAGGTTTCTCGGCGCATTGTCGCGGCGTCTTGGGCCGTCTCAGGGCAACGTGGGGGGCTTCGTTGGCCCTCTCGGGCTGATTGAAGCCGGAAGCGATTATGTCCCCAAATCAATGAAGCGCCGCATCAAAATCAGCGAGTGCCGTGCCTAGGGTCTTTCGGGGTCCTTTTGGGGCCCTCCTGGGCCGTCCTGGGACGCATTGGGGGCTTATCTGAACCATCTTGGTTCCGTGCTGGGCCTCCGTGGTGCCGCGTTGATTTGTCTCGGAGCCATCTTTGTCCGTCCAAGAAAGAAACTGAGGCCATCTTGGCGGCCGATTGCCACCCGGCCCCGTTTTGGGAGACTTGGAGAGCCTCAGGGAGTCAACGCGGTCGCCCGGGAACCATCGGGGGAAGGGGATGCGCGCGGGAAAGCGCGCGGCGGGGCGGGCGAGCCCCCTCAGCGAATGGAGAAACCCTACCAGACAGCACTTGGCATTCGCACGCTCCACTATCGCGGCGGCGCGGCGCCGCCTGGCGCGCGCGAGCGAGATTGAGGCGGCCCCTGCGCCGCCGCGCGCGCGACGGCTAGAAGGGCGCTCGCGTTGGATTTCCCGCGCGCGCGACGGCCAGGCACCTCCGTGCGCGGAAAACGCAGCGCGAGCGGCCTTCCGTCGGACGCGCCTCTGAGGCCGCTGGTGTCTCCCAGCGCGTCGTGGCCGAGTCTCGCCCGCCATTCGCCTTCGCGGCCCCGTGCAAGGGAGGCGGTTGCGCGGTCAACCTGGGGCGGTCAACTGGCTTATGGGCGGCCGATCCAGGTCGGTCCGCCCGCGGTTAGGCGGGCAACTCGGGCGGTCAATTCTTGAGTCCAACGCGCGGCCGGGCGGTCAACGCGCGGCTGGGCGGTCAACCTGGGCGGTCAATTCGGTAGGTTACGGCGCGGCGGGGCGGTCAACGCGCGGCTGGGCGGTCAACCCGGGCGGTCAACTCGGTTGGTCAACGCGCGGCGGGGCGGTCAACGCGCGGTTGGGCGGTCAATCTGGCCGATCAACTCATCAAAGCGCGCGTCGGCCGATCAACTCGGCCGATCAATTTGGCCGACCAACTGGGCCGATCAGCTCGTCAACGCGCGCGCGCGGTCAACTCGGCCGATCAATTTGGCCGATCAGCTGGGCCGATCATCTCGGCCGATGAACTCGGCCCACCAACTCGGCCGATCAACTCGGCCCATCAACTCGGCCCATCAACTCGGCCGACCAATTTGGCCGATCAACTCGGCCGATCAACTTGGCCGTTCGACTCGGCCGATCACTTCGGCCGGTCAACTCGCCTGGTCCCTTTGGTCGGTACTTTCGGGCGGCCAGCTCGGGGGGGTCAACTCGGGCCGTCAATTCGGGCGCGGGTGCCTGCGCGCGCCGCGGGTGCCTGGGCGCCTCCGCCCACGCGCGCCGCCAGCGCTTGGGCGCGCTCACCCGCGCTCGCGGTGGGCGGCCAAACGGTTTCATTCAGAGCTTCCCAGGCCAATGAGTTTCGCGTGGCCCGGAGTTTTTTGGGCCCGTTTGGTTTCGGGCGATCCAGTATCGCCCAAGCTATCGAAGCTTCGGTCGACCCAGAGCCTCCCAGACCCTTGCGCTTCGATCGATCCAGGGCCTACTAGACCCTTGCGCTGGGACCCTCTGGTGGTTGGATTTCATTCAAATCGCTTGGCTGGCGCCGAAACACAAGGCGCCCTTCGATAATCCTTCGCAGAATAAGCCGCTCGCGCACTTCGCGAGATAGGAGCGCAGCGCAGCGCGCGTCGCCCAAATCGCA